GTATAGATCTCTCTCAAATCTTCTCAGATCTCGATGAAAGTTTCAGAATATGATGAGAGGGCCTAGGCGACACTTTCTTTCAAATCTTACTGCAAACTGATGTCGTACGAGAGAGATCTAATAAAATCTCTCTCCTTGGATGCGCAAAACATAGAGAACAGATCTCTGGATAGATCAAAACAATTCGGATTCAATCAGCAGTGACTAAAGTTGTCACACTAATAAAAAAAAAGAGGAGAAAAGGATCAGAGAGCAGCCTGCTTTGATACCATGTCAGCTCGTGAGAAAGTGAGAGAGCAATGAGAGAGACAGAGGTTCAGATCTGTTAGGGTTGATCAATCTGATCGAACCAACCTAGAAAAGATATATTTATATTAATCTTTTGTAAATGGACAAGATTGTCCTTACAAAGAGAATAAAGGAACTGTACACTAAAGTACACGCCTATTATAGTACAAAAAAGAAAAGTAAAGTATAGTAGAATTACAAAACTACCCTTCAATAGTTCTTCTACATTTCCTTCAATTAGAAGATTTGGTGATGTGGAAAGAAGAATAAGAGAAAGAAAAAACAGAGGGTTGTGTCGAGAATGCTTGGTATGTTACTGTTCACACCAAGAAACTTTCATTTTAATTTTTTAAGAAAAAATTACAAAGGGGCCCTTGAATAGGTGCCCAAATGCAAACATACATAAAAGGACATAAATGCCCTTACACTCTCAACACTCCCCTTCAAGTTGAGCATGGATATTTGTCATGCCCAGCTTGTTCAAATTGTTGTCAAGCTTTGATTTGGGGACACCTTTAGTAAGACAATCAGCCAACTGATCTTCAAACCTCACAAATGGTAAACAAATCTCTCCACTAGCAACTCTTTCTCTAATGAAATGTTGATCAACCTCTATATGCTTTGTACGATCATGTTGAACAGGATTGTGGGCTATGTTTATGGCAGCTTGATTGTCACAATATAATATCATTGGAGTATCAATCTACACTCCCATTTCTATCAACAAGTTCTTCAGCCACAACAATTCTGAGACTCCATGAGCTATAGCTCCGTATTTTACCTCTACACTAGATCGAGCCACAACTAGTTCTTTCTTATTTATCCAAGATACAACATTACCACCCACCAAGGTACAATAGCCAGAAGTAGACCACTTATTATCAATAGAACCCACCTAGTCAGCATCAGAATCAGCCTTTACTTTAGATGCCCATGATTAGAATACAACATCCCCTTTCCTAGACATCACTTCTAATAGGCAAGTATTCTATTCATTGCTTGCATATGAGATGATTTAAGCTTGTGCATATATTGGCTGACCACACTTACATCATGTGATATATTTGGTCTAGTCAAACACAAGTAGAGAAGGCGACCGACAAGTCTTTGATACACACCGTTGTTAGGAAGGACATCTCCATCATCAACTCCCAACTTATGATTGGGATCAATTGGAGTTTCAGTCGGTTTACAATCCAATTTTCCTACCTCCTAAAGCAAATCAAAGACATATTTCCTCTAGGCTGCGTTTGGAAGAAGTGTAAAACGTCATCAGTGTAAAAATACACTGATGATGTTTTACACTGAACCGTATATAATGACCGTTACATTTTGAATATCAATGTAAAAAAATGTAAAGTTATACATTGATTATCGATGTAAAACTTTAAAGGTGATGAGGTTTTACATCTATTATCGACGTAAAACTGCACTCCATCCAAACGCATGCAAAACTGAACCGAAGTGTAGTTTTACATCGATAATAATTACACCCTTTTACCAAATGGCATACAAAAGCGAACCGATTGGTTCTTGATTTACATCACATCCAAATGCAGCCCTAAGAAAGATAAATTCCCCTCTTTGAGCTTGCGACCTCAAATCCTAGGAAATACCGGAGATTTCCAAGGTCCTTAATTTCGAATTCAGTAGCAAGAAAAGACTTCAATTCAGCAATTCCAGAGATGTCATCCCCTATGATAACAATATCGTCGGCATATATTATCAGCATAGTCACTTTTCCATTTGCTCTCCTAATAAACAAGGTATGGTCAGCTTGAGGTTGTGAGAAGCCAATTTTCAAGACAACTTTTTTGAATCTGTTAAACCAAGCTCTAGGGGATTATTTAAGGCCATAAAGGGATTTCTTCAAATGGCAAATCTTTCCTTCACTCCCAGGGAAGTCCACTCTTAGAGGAAGTTTTGTGTAAACTTCTTCCTAAAGGTCTCCATTAAGGAAGGTATTCTTAACATCCATTTGATACAAGGGCCAAGAATAATGGGCAGCAAGAGACATGATAACTCAGATTGAATTCATCTTGGCTACTGGAGCAAAGGTTTCCTGTTAATCAATGTCATAAGATTGAGTGTACCCTTTTTCCAAAAGTCGAGTTTTATACCTTTCAATTGAGCCATCAATTTTATGCTTTGCTGTGTAAACCCACTTACATCAAATAGGAACTTTGCCTTCTGGAAGAAAAACAATTTCCCATGTCTGGTTTTTTTCAAGTGCCTCCATTTCCTGGTTCATAGCATCCTTCTAATGAGGGAACTGCACTGCCTCAGTAACATTGTAAGGGATATAAGGTATCATAAGAGACATAGTTTGAGATAAGATATTTAGCACATGCCTGTTTTGCTTTACAAATTGCAATAGGAAGGTTGAAGTCAGAATCCACGCTAGGAGACTCAACAACAAATTCAACACAAGCATCAGAAACAGGAAGAGGTTCAGAATCCAAATTACCTAAGTCCAAGAAGTTAGATTGTAAAGAACATTCAATCTTTGGAGTCATCCTCTTTTTCCGTCTAATAAACCACTGGTGCCAAGACCAAGGAATAGGAGGCGGCACAGGAAGAGGACTATTGCCACCATAGGGAGGAGGAGAAGAAAGGTTGACAACATCAGTTGTAGCCGGAACAAGAATCGGCATACAAAAAGGAGTTCGATCTTCATTAACATTCTCCCCCTGAAGAGAAGGATGAGAGACGGAGAAGAAGGGAGTAGACTCAAAGAGTGTGACATCTTTGGACACATACCTTTTTTCAGGACAAGGGTCATAACAATGATACCCTTTTTGGATTGAAGAATATCCTAAGACACACTTGATAGACTTTGGATCAAATTTCAACCTAGAAGGACTCATGTCATGGACAAAGCAAGCACACCCAAAGACCTTAGGAGGAAAATGGAAGGTATCCTCATCAGGGAAAAGAAGTTGATGAGGAAACTGGAGATGAAGGGTCCGCGAGGGAAGTCTGCTAATAAGATATACAACTATTTGAGTAGCATCCCCCCAAAACCGAGTTGAGACATGCATATGCAATAATCAGCATTCAGTCCAGCAAGAAAATCAAAAACTTGGTTCTTTTCTATGTACTTCATGTACTGTTCAGCATCAATAGGATCCTTCCACTCCAAAGCCTCTAAATGATCAATTTCTTCCCAAATTGATTGTAAGGAGGAGAAATACAGGACCACCAATTTCTTCCTCTATCGCATATTACATGCTTATCTTTGCAACTGATAGATTCTTTTCGCTTGAGAATAAGTTGCAGTTAGTCTATCCCAAATATTAGCTGTTGGAAGGAACATATAGTTGCAGGCGATGTGTGGCTGCATAGAGAATACAAGCCATGACATAACCAACAGATTACCCTGCTCCCATTTGGAATGGTTTGGATCTTCAGGCTTTGGCTTAGCAATTTGTTCCATCAAGTTTTGCAGTAGCAATCTGCCCCTTGGCATTGTCATTACTTCCCAAGAGTACATAGGAAGGTACGCAAACATCTTTGTGTGAGTCCATCAATCACAACCCCTCTAAAAACACCTTTCTCACCAGCACCATAGCATCCCAACACCAGATGAACCCCAATCACCTTTCCCACAAGGTTAGACACGAGCTACATCTATAAAATCAGGAAAAATAGGTATCGGTGGAAAAATGAGGGAAGAAAAAAAATTCCCAAAAGTGTTTTAGGGCTCCAAAAAATTCGGGACTACTTCCTACAGTCCTAGGGGTTTACCATGACTCAAACACAAGAGGTTTCAACAGCAACCAACCCACATACAAGCATGTAAACCCTAAACTCCAGCTCTGGATTTTTTGCCAATTTTCATTTGAAATATCCAAAAAAATATAAAACAACTTCAAACCACTATGAAACCTTTACCAAAATTCCCCTAAAAACAAGGCGAATCAACGAGCATCAAAAACACATAAGGAGTCACCGACTGTACAGACTGCTGACGTCAACTGGCGGCATGCTGATGTCAGCAGGTCTGTCTAAGAGTCGCGACCAGCAGCATATGGTTTCCTTGATCGTACAATGCTCTAATACCAAATTAGAAGATTTAGTGATGTGGGAAGAGGGTTGTGTCGAGAATGCTTGATATGTTACTGTTCACATCAAGTAACTTTTCATTTTAAWTTTTTGAGCAAAAATTACGAAGGGGCCCTTGAATAGACGCCCAAATACAAACATAGGACATAAATGCCCTTACACTCTCAACAACTTCAAATTGTCTGGACAACTTCCTGATTGTCAGTTTTCCTTGGCAGAGAAGGTTGGGCCTGTGGGAGCTAGCTAGCCCAAGCTCAATTCTGAGAACTCAACAGTGAAATTCAAACCTGATGCAAACTGAGGATTGACTCTTGGTTGTTATATTGGCTAAAGAGTGTTAAACAGACATTGTACAACCTCACCATTAATTGCACTAGATGCATGGAAATCTACAATTTGAGTTTAATCCAAGATCTAACCCTATTTTGTATTTGCCTTGTCATTCAGTAACTTGGTACCCCTTGTGTTTGCTCCAGATTTTGTTTTTCCTATTTCTACAATGCCATAGGCACAAGATAATAAGCAACACAACTTTATTTGTTTGTTTGTTTTCTCAATCACATTACTTGCTTGTTGCATCTTGTCTGTCTTTTGTTGATCCTGTAGTGTTTAAAGTATATCTGATTGGCTTTCTTGCACCCCAACAGGTACTTGGAGATGTTATTGAATCTTTAGCAGGGGCAATTCTTGTGGATTCTGAATATAATAAAGATGTAGTTTGGAAAAGCATGCAGCCTCTTTTGGAACCTATTGTAACACCAGATACTGTAAAGTTGCACCCTGTAAGAGAGCTTCATGAGCTCTGCCAGAGACATTCTTATGTGATGAAACCATACTCTGTTTCATACAAAGAAGGTTTGGCTTCTATTACGATAGAAGTTGAAGCATATGGTATTACATACAGTCATACATGTACTGGGGAGAATAAGAAGACAGCAAAAAGGCTAGCTTGTAAAGCTGTCTTAGGCTCTCTGAAAGCAAGAATGCCAAAGATCTAAGATGTTAACAAAATCTAATTACGTTTCAGTATGGGATTATGCATGAATTTAAATGATTGGTATTCAAGTTGCAAATACAATCACATATTTTCAGTTAATATATGGAGAATTTGAATATTTGTCATGGAAATCTCTTTCTTGTACTAGTAGTTGCACTAATGAGCCTTTCTGGAGTTGTTTGTAAATAAATCTTCAGACTTAAACATAGCATGAGGTTTTAAAATGGACTTAAATATACCTTCTGGGCTGATCCCACCAGACTTAAACATCCCTTCCATCAGTGAAACTTACATGCTACTTGCCCGTGATGCCATGTGACTCATTTAAAATTTTAAAATCCTATTTTGCCCTTCTGCACCCACTCCCCCCAAAAGCTTGCTTCTGTATGCAAGCCATGTTGTTCGCTAGGCTTATTCTTCTTTTCTTCTAACCCACCTATTGATTTCGTAGTTCATTAAATAGTGCAAATCTAAAGGAATATTGCAGAACCACAGTATTCCACTTCTTAACCAATAATGTTCTATTAAGTTGCACACTCTAGTCTCTGTAGAGACGCATCATAAGATGTGTAAAGATGCCATAATAAAGAGACTATCTTAAGAATGGTTATATCAGGTAAAATAGATACTAGGATCCTATCTTGTCTTACAATGTGTTCTGAATTAAATTTTACTTAGTTGGAAAACTTATTGCTAGATGTTCCACACTGATCAATTTAAGAAACAACAGTGTTTTCCATCTCAACGACTTGTGCAAAAAATCAACATGAGTGTAAGTTGGAACAGTGAATTAACTTACAAGTTACAATGGATGAGAACATTAAATCTAAAAAGATAATTGACTTAGCAGGATTACCTCAAAAATGTGAAGCTGTTGACAATGATTTGAAGACTAGTAGAACATAATAATCACCTTCAATAAGCTTGAAAATACTTTTATCCTGAAAATTGCTGCATGCAGAGAAGTTTGTTACTAATTTTTGCAGAAATAGATTCACTAGAAGCCAGTTATTTTCCAAGCAAGGGGAGATTCAGCTTGGTGAAGATTATAATGCAGAACATGCTTCTATAATTGATTACTTGTTATATGAAACCTTGCAACAGTTCACAGTCGGCAGCCGATGACATATATAGCCTCTGGATATTGAATCTAAATCCAGTTATTCATACTTCAGGTTCATCCGTAATGGAGCAGATGCCATTTTTTCTCTTTATCTGTATACTTTCTGCAATTGTTGAACCAGTGGTCCCCACAAAGTCTGTGCAAAAGTATATCAACTTGTAAGAAGCTGAACCCTTGTCTAACTCCCCCAAATAAGTTCCTGTCCAATTTAGCTTCAGGAAGATCAGTCATCACGAAAATGTGAATAGGGAGAGGACCCTTCCTAGATGATGAAGGGTAAAAGAGTCTTGCCGGTGATTCTGTCAAATCTGACGGGCACAAGGTATATGCAATTCCATTTCAAAACTTCGGGTGATATGTTAAGTCTTTTACACTAGATTTTTAAGGTGAAGAACACTCGCTAGAGTATATTTTGGTTGTGGTCAAGAAAAGTAAAATGCAGGCTGACAAAAGATAACCTGGACTGAAAAGAGCCATTTACGAGCTTTCTTTTTCCCCTCTGTAAGGAAGGTATCTGCAAAAATGAAAAGCTTCAAAGATCCCTGGTGTTGCCCTCAGCTCTTCAAAACAAGAGACCCCCCTACCCACCCGCCCAACCGAGATCAAGAATTTCTACCTTAAGTGCATTAGGGGGAACATGACACCCTAGCTAGACACAAATGAACATTTAGAACGACATACGCTATTAGTTTTTTCACCAACTGTTCTTATGGTCTTTTTAGCGTATTCCTCTTGCCTTCTCTCAAAATGATCGAGTTTGTCTAGACTCATAGAATGCTTTCACTCTTCACCATATGAGGATTTTAGGCAAGGAAACGGTAAATCCTAGTAGCAACTCCCCCCAAATCAAATTTGTCATGAGATGGTGAAGCTTCAAACATCATCTTGGCGGGGACTGGGAAGTAAAGGTAAGAAGAATGTGAACTTAATTGGGACTAGATTAGTATAAACAAATTACAAGGAGGATTAGGTTTTACTGTATTAGGCTTTTAGGAATCCATAGATTTTTAAATAGAGCCTTGATGGCTAAGCAAGTATAGTCTGTTTTTTTTTTTTTTT